CGAACTCATTAATTTATGACAAAAACATCAAAGAACTAGACTCTTGCATAGGAATGGTTTGTCCCAAGGCAGCTGGGTGATAGTGATTAGTCAGATTAAATCTCACTGTCTTCTCCTGCCTGGAGAGTTCAAGTCCTAATGACCAGAGTGTGGGAACACCCCACCCTGTAGCATCCCATCACTGGCATGAGTGTGCACAGTAGGGAACTCGCCCCATCTAAAGTAGATCTCTCTCCATGGCCTCCACTTTGTTGCCTTCAAGACTCGAGGTCTGTCAAGATTGTTATAACAACCCTGGAGTCAATGTAGTGATAAAAGGCTGAGGTTGCTAAAGTCTCTTACCAGTTAGAGGAGTTGAATATTAAAAGGAATCATTCATCCTTGCATGGATGATCTCAAAGTTCTCTAGAGAGTCCTACTCCTGTAATTTCAATGGGAAGGAGAACTCTGTGGGCTACGCAGCTAAGTGCCAGCACCATGCTTGGCACACAGCAAGGTTTCTACTCCTTCAGGTTGAATGTACTTGTTAAGAAAAGTCATGTTGCACGAATAGTCTCTGGCTGGTGGAAGAGGAGTAAGGAGTAGAGCTCAGGGCTTTGCTTTTACTGCAAAACTTCCCAATTTACTCACATCTGTGGCTATTTATTCTGTTTCTTCCACAATATTCATGGTTGAAAATTGTCTGTGCTCCTTTCCGATGTCATCCCTTCCAGGTTAGCCTTGGCTTCCATCTTTAAGGGCTCGCTCCTGCAATTAACCCTCTCTTTTCTGAGCCATCAATGCTCCTCTGTCTACTAGATCATTCCTGTCAGCATACAAACAAGTTCTAATGCTTCCTGTTTTAGAAGAGCATCCTTACTCGTGGTCTCCCTGACATGTCACCATGCTATTCTTTCCTCCCCACGACAGCAAAGCGCCCCACAGCGTTTCTACACGCTCAGTATCTCTACTCCTTCTTCTTCATTCTAAATCTCACTCCCACACTCCCCAAACTAAAGCAGCTCTTATCAAGGTCACCAGTGACCTTGTTGCTGTCAAGTCCAGAGGTCATTTCTCGGTCATCATCTTATTCAATATGTGAGGAGCACTCAGCACTTGTAAGACTCTCTTACCAGTTTCCTTGCTTGACTTTTTTAAAAGATTTATTTATTTATGCATACAGGAGCTGGAGTATAGGCCAGAGGTGCAAGGGGTGAGAGGAATCACCAGAGGCAGATTGGGGAGCAGAACAGGTGGATCTACTGAAATACACTGCTGAGGGGAGCAGCAGGCGAGACAGGAGAGGTCTGCTGTGCCATGTGGGTAGCTTCTTGGCCGGCGGGATTGAACTCGTGCTGCAGCAGCTGGCAGTATCTTGATAGCACCGTATCTTTAACCCCTGAGCCACTGGGGAGGCCCCCTTGCTTGACTTTTAGACATAGCTGTTTCTTGGGTCTCCTATTTCACTGGTCTCTCAGTCTTCTTTGTCTTTCCAATCTAGAGGTAACAGACACCCAGAGTCACTTCTTGGACAATTTTGCTAGTTCTGCTCCCTCCATGGATGATCTCATTTAATCCCATGGTTTTAATCACCATTCACTTACTATGACTCCTGAAGTTCTATCTCCATTCCCTCTACTCCCACTGCCTACACCTACTTAGATGCATTTTGTACATCAACTTCACACCTGCATCGTGTAAACATGAACAAAACTATATTCTTCTTCTTTTCAGTTCTACTCAGCCCTTAAACTCCCTCCCCCCCAGTAAATAGTAACTCCTTTCTTTCAGTGGTTCTGGCTTCAAATCTTGGAATCATCTCTGACTTTCTCATACCACACACCAAATCTGTCCACAGATCCATGCAGCATCACCCCAAATTATAGCTAGAGTCTAGTCACTTCTCACCACCCTTATTGCTACTACCCTGGTCCCAGTCACCACCATATCTCGCTTGGACTACTCAGTCTCCTAATCGGTCTCACTGCTTCTAGTCCTGCCTCCCCAAGAACTCTAGTATCCAGAGTAATCTTTAAACAACTATAATTATATAATGTCATGCTTCTACTCCAAACCTCCTAAGGCTTGCCATCTCACTTTCTGAAGAGAATCCAAAGTCCTTATCAGAACCTAAAACCGTAAAAGACCTGGTTCCTGCTGGCTCTCTGATCTCAGCTTCCCCCTCTCTGCCCTCTGCCTACTCCAGTCTAGCCACACTGGTCTCCCTGCTATTCTTTGAACATGCTATGTATATTTACAGGTATGTAAATTCACTCACTTCCTTCAATCTTCTGCCCAGATTTCACTGCCTCCTAAAAGCTTCACCTGACTGTTCTTTCTAAAATAACACCCTGCTGTCACCCTCTCTCTCCTTACCATGTTTTACTTTTCTTCTTACCAATGATCACAACTCAACATATTTTATACTTATTTGCCACTGATTGTCAACCAATCGATATATAAGTCTGATAAGAATAGAGTGTAAGTTTAATCATTGCTGTATCCCAAGCTCCTAAAATAGTGCCTGACACATAGTAGGTGTGAGAATTTAACATGCAGATACCTGAGGCAAGAGTGACAGGTAAAAGGGCCCTGAGGTAGAAGTGGTCTGAACATGTTCAAAGAATAGTGGAGAGTGGGAGCATTGTTAAATGGACTCACCCTGGTTTCCACTCATCAGGTCAAGACAGATGATTAACTAATTAATATGATTGAAATCAGATGGGAGGAACTTGGAGTGGTGTACCCAGAGAGCATCAGATTCTGCATTCATTTATTATCAATGGCCACCATGGATTCACAGATATTTTCAGTTTGTTTGCCAAATAATTTGCCAAACTCTAAGGTGGAATGAAATGTCTTTTACTTCCACGACGTGTTGCTTTTCCCCTGGGGCTCAATGTGTTCATCTGTGAAATAGGCAGTTGGTGATGTGGCTACTGCTCTGCCAGCTTAGGGACTACAAGATGCTGGAGGGAAGCAGTAATTGAGGAGGATCAATCACACAGACTCTGGAGCTGATGTTCTGTGCATGAATCCTGCCTCCATTCCTCACAAACCACATGACCTTGGCAAATTACTCAGTTTCTTCATTTGTAAATTAGGAATAAATAGTACAAGGACAATAATAGCATTTAATTCAAAGAGTACTTTTTAGGACACATAAGATAATACATGTAAAGAATGTAGCATATGGTCTGGCACAGAATAAGTGCTTGATTTATATTAGTTATTAAAAATGGAAAGCTGTGGGGGAAGTTCTGAGAGGTCATTGCTACTGATGTATTTGGAAGCTATGAGCTATCCTAGAATATTAGATAATATGGAATCTTTATAGGCATAATAATAATATTGTGCTAGGTGGGAGAATTCTTAGGAGATGCCCGGTGAAGTATTTACAAATAAAGCCTCACAAGGCTTGCCATTTACTTTAAAATCTACCCACATATGGTTTCTTTTCTTTTTTTTTGAATTTGCAGACTTTAACTATTTTTTTTAAAGAGAATTTTTTTAAAATATTTATTTATTTATACAAGCACTGAGTACAGTCAGAAGCGCGGGAGGGTGAGAGAATTCACCAGAGCCAGAGCAGGGAGCAGAGCAGGCAGAAGGACCGAAGTACACTGCTGAGGGGAGCAGCGGGCGGCAGGAGAGGTCTGTGCGCCATGTGGGACCCTCCTCCAGTGGCCCGGGAGCAGCCGGGGATTGAACCAGCACTGCAGAGGCTGTGGGCAGCTTCACAACCCAGTGCTCAACCGCTGCGCCACCGGGGAGGCCCACACATACGGTTTCTTATTTAGATATCTGTCAAACCAATGTAACAAAATAACAGATATTGAAGATAGGGGATAGTATATTGTAGTAGTGTTTCAATTTTTTGGTAGGTTTTAAATTTCAAAACAAAAGTTGAAGAAAAAAAAGGATCCTAGATATGTGTGAAATCCAGTACTCATTTTACAGAAGACACCCAGATGTGGAGTCTTTGCCCCAGGGCAGATGGCTGGGGACCTCCAAGCCAGAACACAGGCCCACCCTCCCTTTGTGTGGCTGCTGCTGTTGACCCTCAGGTGGCAGGACTGCTCTCCCTCACAGACACCAGGGGGATATTATGGGTGTGTAAAAAGACACCTGTGTTGATGTTTCCTTTTTGTTTATTAAGCAAATAGATAGGTCAGCTGGCTGGAAGGTGTGATGTTGAAATATGAAGGCAGCACCAGGGCCAAACCTGCCATCCTTATTGTGTGGTCATACCAGTTTGGCACCATCTGCTTGTGGTTTCTGAGTGGTGGTGTGTGAGTGTAAACTCTGGGCTTTCAGAGGGGAGAAGGAAGAGCATGGAGTGGGGCTGGGACCAGAAAAAGCAACAAAGAGAGATGAGATGACTTCTAGTCTAGAACTCCCTGAAAGAAGGGACCCTAGGGTACTGCTGGGGATGGAACACTGGGGCATTTAAAGCAAGGAAAGGATTCTCTACATCCGCAGCGCCCTCCTCTAGCTAGTACTGTTCAAGGCAGTGAAAAGTAGAGAGGAAAGAGGAGGTTTCCCTTGTGAACCTCTCTGGGGCACAGAGAAGAAACGAGAGAAAGAAGAGAAAAAAATACAGAAAAGGAAGCCTGGGGTGCAGTGCGGGGGCCGGGGTGGAGAGGTAAAGGGGCCGCACCTGGGGACCTGCGAACGAGTGGGAGACGGTCAGCTTCGGCAGCCTGGAGTGTGTTGCCCCAGAACTGTCCCGCCTGGATCTCCAGGGTTCTGGAAGTCCCTGGAGGCCGCGGTAGCTAGCGCAGAGCGCCTGGAACTCTTACCAGGGGGAAGGGCGGGCAGGAGAGGCGGGGCCTCCAGGCCTGGCGGGAGCGGAGCCTTGGGCTGCGGGCGGGGCTCCTCTCCGGCGGGCGGGCGGGCCGGGCGGGAGTCTGGGGCCGCCGCTTCCCGCTCCCCGTCGGTGGAGGCGCCTGGCCCCTCCTCCCCCCGCCGCCCCCACTCCCGCTGGCGCTGTCAAAGATAAACCCGGCGGTTGCCTGCAGGAGCAACGGCAGCGGGCGACGGGGTGGTGAAGAGCCTCGGGCGCGGCCTCGCCTCCGCGACCCGGCGATCAGCACCGCGGACAGCACCGCCGCAGTTCCCCGAAGCCAGACGCCCGCCGGCCGGCAGCCCCCCGCGCCCGGCCCGCGGCGCCCGCGTCAGCACCGCGGACAGCTCCCCGCCCCCATCGGGCCGCGCCAGCCCACCCGCTCCCCCAGCCCTCACCGCTGCAGCCCTTCGGACCCACCCAGCAGCAGGCTCGGAGCTGTCATCGCCCCCGAACATGGCCACAGAGGTAGGAGGCGAGCACCCACCCGCGGGCAGTGCCCAACTGCTTCGGGAACAGATTCCCTCTAGGGGCGGACTGGGCGGGGAAAAGGAACAGGGGGGCGGGTGGGGGAGATGTGGGGAGGGTTGGGAGGCTAGGGAGGGTGGCTTCCTGCGTTGGGTCTGGAGCAAGGGGTGGGGGCGGAGCGGCAGATGGAAGAGGGGCTCCTGGGGAGTACTCGTGTGACCTCTGGCAGGAGGACTCACTCACCTCACCCCAGTCTCCCCCATTTGAGTGGAAGCTGCCCCAGCCACTTGTTGGCACTAGTATCAGGGTTGCGTCAGGGCCCCAGCTGGGGTTTCCTCTTGCCTTAGACTGCAAGTCCTTAAACCACTTCCCTAGGGGATTGGAGGCAAGCCCGCGCCTGTTTTATGGGAGGCCAGGCAGCTGCTGCTGTTGCTATGCGGTGCAGTCATCTAGCTGCTGAACCCAAAGGCCTGGCTCAGGGATGACAAACCTACCACATCCGCATTCCCCTTCTAGGCAGGGAGGGGACAAACACATCCCTAGCTCAAAATCCCAAATGGCTGGTTTCAATAAAATGCCTGCACCAATCCTTGCTTTTGCATATCACCCTTTCTTGGCTTTTTGCCCCTCCTCCACACTGGAGTTTCCTGTGCGGGGTGTCCACCTTCCCCTGTGTCTGATGGGAAGAGCTGCCCTCTTCAGGGTGTGTCTCTAGGTGTGTCATCTTCGAGGCACTTGAAAGCTGAATCAAGGCACCTGTTGGCTGAGGGTAAAGCTTGGTGCAGTGATTCTGAGATCAGGAGCCGCCTCCTCTACCCTCTCATTTCATGGGAGGGATATGGAGCTCTTTATGCCCCACTCTGTAAGTGGAAAGACTAACACATGGAGAAGGCCAGGACCTATTTGATACTCACACAGCATGTCAGCAGCAGAGCTGAAAGTTCCTTCCTTTGAATTTTTGGAGTGGAACCCAGGACACCAGGGTCTCCCCACTTCTGACGTTGACTTCTTTTGTTGTATTTCCTCATTTCTAACCCAGCTGGAACGCAAGCTGGGGGTGAGCTGAGAGTTTCGAATGATTCCCTGCAGTGCCTCTGGGCATCCTGGTGAGAAGTGTGACATCAATGCCAAGTGTTATTGTTATTCCACTGTGGTCGCCACCACAGAACAGGGTGCAGTTGCTTGAAATCACTCCGTTCTCTGACAAGGCACAGGGTTAGCGAGGAGAACTCAGCCCTTCCTCCTGACCCCGCGAGAGGACATGCCTGGAGCTTAGACTCTAGGGTGGAAAATGCACAGTGCTCAGAAAGTGCTGAAGATACTGAGAAGAGCAGAGAGAACAAAGAGAGAAATGGCCAAGGAGCTGGTCACCTTCCAGATAGGGCTGCCAGACTGCAGCATAGGCTGCTGGTGCTGGGCAGGAAGGGGAAATTTCAGCTACATGGACAAGGCTAAGTCAGCAGTGTGGGCAGAGCAGACATCCTTATCTATGAGATGGTCCAACAGATTCCAAGAGGCCCATCTGTGTCAACATGTCTCCTCAGCCCATGGACTGCAACCAGCAAGCAGGCGCACATCTCCAGGTTGAGGCAGGGTTTGTAGGAGGCTGCTGTTAGGCAGGCGTGACTCTCCCCTGGGAGAGGCTCTGCTCATAACGCCTCTGTGAATACAACACTTTCCTGTGTACGAAGCACTGTCATACGCATGGTTTCCTTTGAGCCTTAAAACAACCCTGTGAAGTGGGCAAGGATGGTGTTATTATCCCCAATTAACAGATGAGGCAACTAAGGCTCAGAAACTCACCTGATCCCTCTGAAGGAGCCTAGAAAGGCATCATTATCCCATTTTACAGATGGTGCAAGTGGAGTGCTGAGTCTTAGTCAAGAAAATATGGCCAAAAGCATCAGGGCCGGGACTAGAACTTGTTTCTGCCTCCCTGACCAGTGCGTTGCCTGAAGGGTCCAGGTGTATCCAATTAGCTGACTGTGTCGCCGACTAAAGAGGAAGCACTGCGGGTCTTGGTGTGAAGGTTTGGTGGGTGGAGGGCTGCGGAGGAGTTCGGAAAGGGCTAAAGTCCTGGAACTCAGCACCCCCACTCCTGGCTGGCCTGACTGGGTCAGCTTGAGGACAGAAGAATGCCCAGAAAGACGGGTGCCAAGGATAAACACTGCCCACTTCCCATGGGGAACGGGGCCCAGAAGTCTTGGGTGAACTCTGAAGGCAGTGCTGAGGGAAGAAGCCTTAGCTCTGCCAAGGCGCAGGGTGTGCTATTAGCTGGGGCATGGCGTGAGTCATTCTCCCCAGGCTGTTTGTACGGTTAGGATTGTGAAGATTACCAGGAAAAACCTGTTGGGAGATGGGAAACCTCATACTGAGTGAGCGCTTGTGGCCATTCCCTGAGGTTTCTGCATGGGAAGTCCTCAGCCTCGGCAGAAGATGTTTTGAGGGGAGGAGAAGGCACAGAGAGAGGGAAGGAGGGTGTGAGAGAGAGAGAAGGAAACAACATCTCTATTCTCTAAGTTCTGCTAGGAGTTGGGATTAGGGGAGGAGTGTGTGTGAGGAGCGCAGGGGAGGGACAGAGCCTCCTGAGTGATACACTGACCTCATTTGGAAGACTGTAATGAGTCCATTTCGCGAGCACCAGACCTCTGTGAACGTGCACCATCGGGAGCGGGGTCCATGCTGGGAAGCAGCCCAGAAGGTCAAGGATGACGGGGAAATGCCTGGCCAGGAGGGCTTCTCCGAGGGCCAGAGTTTGGTCCCTAGGTGACTTTAAAATGCACCCTAGCAGCTGCATCCAAGCAGGGCATTTGGAGGTTTGATCTCAGAGGCCTGGGGTTAACACCCAGCAGAGCATGGGCTGGGACCCAGGGCAGGCTAGAAGGGAGGCCTGTGCCTGGGTTTCCACCCTGAGGCCTGACTTGCTGCCTGTGACTCATAATCCTTGCTCCTCCTCCACACCCCAGCCAGGGAGCACGATGTTGGCTCATCTGCTGAGCCTCATGATTCTTGAGTTGAGCCTCAAATGCATCCTCTAGAATTAGATGGTTTTTAATGAGGATGGGGATGCGGGCCAGGTGGGCCTCCTGTTTGTCTCAGGCAGGGGCTCCTCTGCATCCCAGGGTTGCTTCTCTGACCTCTGTCAGGTCAACTCTGTTGGGTGTACAGGCCCTAAGTGTGTGACCTGCGGTCCCCACTCTCCAGCAGCCCCATCCCTGTCATGCTGCATTTCAAAAGTTGGTGGCAGATCTCACTGCTGATTTTCTTGCTCATGAAGTGCCTCTGGGTCCTGTCCTTCCTCAGCTGCCAGAGGCTCCCAGATGGCGATGGGGGAGGGTGAGGGTAGAGAAAGGTGAGAAGCCCAGGTGACTGGATCAGTTCAGAAACCCCAGGGGAGTTGTCCAGGGGGAGCTGTGACCTCAGAAGTGTGTGTGCATGTTTGGGACCCTCTTGTGGGATTTCAGAGCATCATGGATCTGTCACAAACATCTGTCAGTCTCCTGGAAGTTAAGTAAGTGGCAGGTGGCCTGGAGCCTGCTTCTAGCTCGGTTCGAGGGCCTCTGCCACAGATTCCTTATTTAGAGGCACTAAACTGGCAGCTCCAGGGATGAATCTGGCCACAAGTTTGCCTTATCTGGCTTGCATAAGTTTAAACAATGTATTGGAAACACTTAAAAATCAGGGTATTTGATATTAGAGAATCTGGATTTATGGCTTCTCTTAAAAAAATCAGAACTGTGGCAACATTGGAGCACATTCTCATATGGCAATGATTAGCTGCTTTATCGAGATGGGGCACAGTCCCCCGCCCACTCACGTGCTCAGCCCCTGTAAATATTTGCATTCATAATCTCCGATAAGGTCTCAGAATGTTAGAGTTGGAAGGGCCTTTAGCAATTATGTAGTTCCAACATTTCTGATTCTAGTGGAAGAAACGGAAGTCCAGAGAAGGGAGGCTTTCCCAGGGCCGTGTGGCAGGGACTAGCATTACATGATATATACATATATATAAAAAATACATATATTTGTATATATTACCATACAATATTTGATCCAATCACAGTACTGTGGGATCACCTCTCCTGTGTTAGAGGATGATTCCCCTGGATTTGAGAAAGTCTCCTAGAGAGGTCTCAGATTTGCACCTTTTCAAGACCTTGATCTTCCAATGATCTGTTCCTACTGCCATATTGACAATCTTTCTCTCATTATTCTTTTCCCAGCAAGTTAATAAATCTTTCATTGTAAATCCTCCCCTCCGGAGGGAACCCCTCCTGCCCTTTGTGACCTAGCCCTTGCTCCTATAGTCTCGTCCACCACTGCTCTTATCTAATCTTCAGGCCGACTCCGGCCTTACTGAAACCTGCTTGCGGTCATTAGAGTAGACCTTGCTCTTCGTTGCACCTGTTTCTCCCTCTGTCTGGGTTGATTGACCGCCCTCTCCCACCCTCCCCCTGCCCCCACTGCTGGTAACTCTGGTGCTTCCTTTACCTCTCAGCACAGATCCCAGGAAACATTTTCTGTTTCTTCATTGTAGCATTTATCACAGTCTAATTCATTATATATTTACTTGCCTTCTTCCCTGGAGCTCACAGACTGTCTTTTGCTCGGCAGCCCCAGAGCGTGGCAATAGTAGAGACTCAATAAATGAAAGCTGAGTGGTTGAGTGGTTTCACCTTAATTACACAGGATGAACTGGCTGTTCGCTCTGCCTTTGGGGCTCGGTCTCTGTGTGGTTCCAACGTTTGGCATATTTCACCCAGTGGGATGCTTGTCTTGCATGTGGGTGACTGAGGCTGGGTGTGGAAGAAAGAGGCCTTACACTTCTGTGGAACTGACCTTACCCCCCTCAAATGCTAGGCGCTCTGCACATCAAATCCTCAGGTGTGGACAAGCAATAGTAGTCACCCCACTTCTTCCTACCAGGTTAGGGCGTTTATTAATTTCTGACCTAAGTCCTCTTTCTCTACGATTTTCTCTGGGGAATTTGGGCATCAATGGGCCCCTCTCCTGGACACTGAGCAGGCATGGCCTGCACTGGGATCTCCCCTGAGGTCATGGGCACGCCAGGCAGGCCTGTCCTACTCGCTGCCTCCGCTGGGTGCACAACTTGGCAGACCTGAGACCTCAGTTCTGGTCTGTGCTGGGTTCCCCAAGTCCGCCTGCCAAGTCGTGGACATTTGATACTTGCTGAATGAATGGAAACGTGAAAGGCCCCACAACGCCCGCGTGTGTAACCCGGTCCAGCCGTCAGGAAGCCTTTCCCTCTGGTGAAAGTTTGCTTCTGATTCTGCTGATGGTTCCAGGACCGCTCATTTTGCTCATCTTAGACTCAGCTTCAGGTTTTTTTGTAGATCTTTCTCGGCTACCTGGAGGCATCTTCTGCAGTAAACTCTGCCGTCCTGCTTCCCCGTGATCTTCCTGGAGTACTTGTGGGGTGACCGACTTCTTCTGGTCTAGCCTTGAAAGATCCACATCCCCCCAAACCCTTCTGTCCCAGATCAGCCCACAGGAGTGGTGACTCTGAAATGTGTCTTCTGTCCTCTCCGCAGGCGCACAATCTGCAGGAGCTGCGGCGAAGCGCCTCGCTGGCCACCAAGGTCTTCATTCAGAGAGACTATAGCGATGGCACCATCTGTCAGTTCCAGACGAAATTCCCTCCTGAGCTGGACAGCCGGGTAGGACTCTGCTTTGCAAGCTTGGAACACAGGCCATGATGGAACTGAAGGGTTTATTTGAATGGAACCCCTCTCCATCCAGGATAAAAATAACATGACACGTAACTTGTTCAATCACTTCTCCTGCAAGAGTTCAAAAATGTCCTTAACATTATCTTGCTATCACCTCATTGGAAATTAGAACTTAAGATGCCTCAGATTTTTCCTGCTCAGCCACTCTCAACAGCATGGTGATCCCGGGGGCATGTTGAACATCAATTCTCCAGTCCTGGGGGTTGATATTAGGTGTCAGCTGGGATGCAGTAGGTGGTGGGAGTGGGTTCAGAGTCTCCACTTTTTAGCAGCAGTTCTCAACCTTGGCTGCACATTAGGATTTCTCAGGGAGCTTAAAGGAACCCTGATGCTGAGGTTGCACCCCAGACCAATGGAATCAGCATCTTGGGAAGGGGCCCAGGCATCAGAACTGTTCTGCGTTTCCCCAGGTGGCTGCAGTGTGCAGCTGGGGTCGAGGCTCTTACTCTGTAGCGAAGAATCCCAGATGATGTGGAATCTGGTGATTCATAGATCCCTCTTTGGGATTGGCTGTTTTCCAGGTCTTCTGCTCATGATGGACTGCACAGTTGAATCTGGGGGGCTTTGAAGAAAGCTTGCAGGTGTCACTAGGGGGGAAATAGGGCAGTGCTGCTCTTTCCCATCACCCCTCACCTCATTTAAATCAGAAGCTCCTGGAGGTGAGACTTGGGCTTGTCTAAGATTTAGCTTCTTTTTTTTTTTAAGATTTATTTATTGATTGATTGATTGATTTATACGTACATACATACAAGCACTGGGTACAGTCAGAGGCGCGGGAGGGTAAGAGAATTGACCAGAGCCAGAGCCAGAGTCAGAGCAGGGAGCAGAGCAGGCAAAAGGACCGAAGTACACTGCTGAGGGGAGCAGCGGGCGGCAGGAGAGGTCTGCACGCCATGTGGACCCTCCTCCGGTGGCCGGGGAGCAGCCGGGGATTGAACCGGTGCTGCAGAGTCTGCAGTCAGCTTCGCAACCCAGTGCTCAACTGCTGCGACACCAGGGAGGCCCCAGGCTTGTCTAAAATTAAAAGCTGCTCAAGCTGACTTCAGTTTGCACCAGAATTCAGAACCCCTCAGTTCTTACACTAAAACTGTAGTCTGCCAACTGGTAATATCAGCATCCCCTGCGAGTGCAGAACCTCGGGCCCTGCCTGTATCCACTGACTGAGCTCTGTTTTAACAGGCTCCTGAGGTGGTGCATGCATATGTGAAGGTTTGAGAAGCACTGTGCTACTTTGCCCCACTCATTTCACAGGAGAAACTCAGGACCAGAAAGAGGACATGGCATACCAAAGTGACAGGGTACCAGAAGGGGCTTGGAACCATAACTCTCAGCTTTTCCACAGGACAGATAGCTTCTTATTGATGCAATCACATCCTTAGAGGGTTTAGACAGAATTGGAGTCCTTTGTGATCAGTCCTTGCAGGAAAGGCATAGAGGCTGGAGGAAGGGCTGGAGGCCACTTTCCCCACATTCCTCTGCCTCAGGCAAAGGGGAGGGCTGGTGCTCCCTCAGAGTCTGCTGGAGGCATCAGAGGCTCTAACCAAGGCCTCTCCCTCCAGATTCAGCCACTTAGGGGGGTCTCATGGATCATGGGCCCTTTGCAAGGCATCAGCTCCTTTTGCTGAGTTTTGCTTCTGGTTCTGGGATGTAGGCAACCCTCATCCCAGGCTGCCTTAGAACTGACCTGAATTTGGGGAAGAGCAGAGCACAGACTCCAATCCTTTCATTTAACAGCCCAAGTAAGTGGGTGTGGGAGGATGGGACAAAGCTGATTTTTGCTGATCTGACCCTAAGCAGTTTTTGGAGAACAGTATTTGTCCTTTCATTTCAGGATACCTCTCTTTTGGGGAAGGTGACCCCTGGGGGAGAATAACAAGATGTAGGTCATGGACCAGATGAGCATCACTTTCTCTGTGTGTTCACTCCAGATCTCTGTAGGGCTGGGAATCCCAGAACTGACTACTACTGGGGAAGGGATTAACTTTTGTCTGAGGCGGGCAAGGGAGGGAGGTCCCTAACCTGTATGATGAGCAAGCAGTGTGCTTTGTGCTCCAAAGAATAAAAAAATGGAGCTACAGACACTTGGACACCTGCTGAGCTTGGAGCATGACCTTCCAGTTTGGCTGTCTGGTGGAGGGTTACATGGTGAAGAGCACAGACTCAGGGGAGAACTGTGTAATCTTGGACAGTCAACATTTGGCAAGAATTTATTGAGCACCTACTATACATTAGACACTGGAGACATAGGAGTGAACTCATGGAGTTTATTCTCTATTAGAAGGTGAAAAAATAAAAGAGCAACAAGCAAATATATGGTAGCTCAGCTGGTGAAACATACTGGAAAAATAAGGGGGAGGCCAGGGAGAGGTGAATGTTTGTTGGGGGTGTATGTGGATGTTGGCGCCTGTCAGATAAGGTGAGACCTGAGGGAAATTAGGATGAGCTGGGTCAGGTGTTACCTGGGGGAAGTTCTGCAGCGGGGGACACAGGCACAGAGGACCTGGGCCATTGTCAAGAATCAGCAGGGCTGCCAGTGCGATGGAGTGGGGACTGAGGAAAATAGGAGACAGCCCAGAGAGGTTGCAAGCCAGGTCCTATAGGCCTAGCAGGCACTGTCAGGGCTTCCTGGACTTTACTTGAAGAGACTTTGGAAGCTCTGATCAGAACTGCAGCACATCTGACTTTGCTGGGCTCTTGGCGGTGCTGGGGGCAGAGATGATGGTGGTCACTTGTGAAATGGGCTGGTAGTTGCATTCTTCCGGTAGACTAGTTCTGAGGGTTAAATGAAAGACTAGATAAAAGTGCCTGGAATGTAAAAGTGTTTGTTAAATATTAGTTCTGATTGTGGGCGCAGGCAGGACAACTTTCCAGTCCTAGCAACGGGACTGTTGCCTAGGGAAACCTTTTTGCTAGGAGAGTGCCCCCTCCTGGACAGACACTCCTCAGGTCTCACTCAAGCAGTTTCATGCATCCCATCCAAACAAGGACAGCCCCTCTCAATGAGGCCCTGAGCCCCTTCACAGCTGTCAAAACAAGGGCTGGCTAATCCTCTGCAGAAAACACGCACATTTAGCATATCAGGTATCCAAGGGAGGTCAAGTAGCCATTCTTTTTCCCACTTTATTGATGTGGAAACTGAGTCTCGGGTAGGTATTAGTCCAAGGTCACACAACTAATTGATGGCCAAGTCAAGACTGGCCCCCAGGTGCTCTCTGCTCCACCGATACTTATAACCTTTGGCCTTGCCCGTATGCTCCCCATTTATCCCCACCATCCCCCCCAGCTCCCCGACATGTGACTGTCTCCACTCCAGGGAGGCTGATTTTGACCTAGCTCATTTCTTCTCTCTCCCCTTCAGATTGAGAGGCAGCTCTTTGAAGAGACTGTGAAGACCCTCAATGGCTTCTATGCAGAGGCTGAGAAGGTCGGGGGCAGCTCCTACCTGGAGGGCTGTCTGGCCTGCGCCACAGCCTACTTCATCTTCCTGTGTATGGAGACCCACTACGAGAAGGTGGCTCCCCCTGCCGTCCTGACCCTCCCTGCGCTCTCGTGCTTCGCCCACATCCTTCACAGCTCCTCTCCTTGCAGGTTCTCAAGAAGATCTCCCGATACATTCAGGAGCAGAATGAGAAGATCTTTGCCCCCCGAGGCCTCCTGCTCACAGACCCCGTGGAGCGCGGCATGAGGGTTGTATCCTTCCTGACTCTTTTGGGGAGAGCACAAAACTACTGACTGGTGGGGTCCCTGTTTGGCAAGACTGCCTGGAAATGGGGACCACTGGGAACTTCCGATCAAGCTAGGACTCCCCAAATCACTGGTTATCAACGCTTCTCCCCACTGTAGGTTATTGGGGCGGTTTATGCAGCTCATGGATTGCTGTTATTGAGCTGCAATTAGTCAGTGCATAATGTCAGCCAGATGTCATGTTAAGTGCTTTGAAAGTATGAATTCATGTAATTCTCATAACACCCCATAAGGTAGTTAACTGAATATTCCCCTTTATGGATGAAGTCAAGTAACTGACTCAGGGTCACCCAACTGGTGAATGTCTGACCAGGATTTGGGCACAGGCCGCCTCTTGACTATGAGACTGTACTTCCCCTGAAGGGAGCTAGTGTTTACATGGCCACAGTCTCATGCGGTCCCCATTTAATCCCATGTGCAAGTCCCGTGTTCACAGGGGAAGTTTCTTAGAGGGTGTGGGAGATGAGTGTGAGGATCTGCTCAAGCCACCTGGACAGGACAGGAATGGTCCTAGTGCACTTACATTCACTCCCCTATAAGCAGCAATGAGGCTTTCAATTTCACTAGAAAGCTGAGAGGAACTGCTCAAGAAGCTACCAGTTCTCACTGCCAGGTCTCACTTTACGAAGCCCAGGGAGAGGCATTTCTTTTAATTATGCCTTTACTGGACAGTGGGCTTAATACTTCACATACATTATTTCATTTAGTCCTCACAACCACCCCCCAGATTCTATTATTACCCCCATTTTACAGATGTGATATGGATGGGTAACAAATAAAGTGACTGGTGGAAGGTCACAAGGCTGGAGAGGGTGAGTGGGGATTTGCAATCAGGACAAGGAAATCCTCATGCTTGCCGTGCAGCTACACCCCCTTGGGCACACCTGTGTCCCGGAAGGCCTACTTAGACTACCTGGACCCAAGCTCCTAACTCCGGCTTGCGCCAGCTGAGAGTGTGCAAGCCAAGAGGACGCGTGGCTGGGGCGTGGCCCCCCTACTCTATGTCCTTGAGTCTGGGCAGCAGAGCCAGCTCTGCCTCTCGCTCCCGCGGGCCTCCACCCTCACCCCACAGCCCCCAGTTCTCCTTAATGATGCCTCAGATTGAGATCTCCATCTACGAGGACCGGTGCAGCAGTGGCAGCTCCAGCAGCGGCAGCAGCAGTGGCAGTGGCAGCAGCGGAGGGGGCGGTGCGGCGGGGGCCCGGTGACTGGCGGAGAGTCCCTGCAGGGAGGTGTACGGCCGGACTGAGGGCCTCTCAGACCTGCGGAGGCTGCGCTACCAGAGCACCCGCTTCTGAGTCATGCTCCAGGCCCATCCTGCCGCCTGGGGTGGGCGGGAGGGTGACCAGCCGCGCTTCCTGCCGGCCAGCAACCCTCTCAACCCTCACCCTCTGGCAGGGTGGTCACGCCCAGACCAGGCTCCTTCCAGGGGCACAGGTCTGGACTACCCAGAGCCAGATCTTCCAGGGGATGCTTCCAGAAGGTGGGGAGAATACAACTTGGACAACCCCTTTCTTTTGTAGTTCTCTCAACATGGGGAGGGGGCCCAGGTCTGTCATATAGAGAATTCCCGTCCTGCATGATTCCTCACCCCAAGTCCCACCTCCTTCACGATTCTCTCCCCTCAGTGCCCCTCCCCCTTGTCTGTCTCCCAGTGTCTGTTCTTTCTTAGACCCCTGCGGGCCTCTGCTGTCTATGATCCTGCCTCCATTGAGTCTGAGGAGTGGGGAGATGGCTGCTGGCACTGCAGGGCACCTGCTCAGGCCCTCCTGACCTCTCCTAGACCTGGGGCTTCCCCGTCCTTCACCCAAAGCTTGGAGACCCTCTTGGCCTTGCCCAGAAGCATCCCATCCAGCTCCTGAGACTTGGCAGGCCTCCAGGCACTGTCCTCGGGACACACAGCCTGGGGCTCTGGGAGGCTCACTGGGGAGCTGGAGAAGTGCTTAATGAAGAGATGTAGCATTGGGGGTTCTGAACCCCCAGAAACCAGGCTTCCTGAGGCTAGAACCTGCATGGATGTGAGAGAGTGTGTGTGTGTGCAGGCACGGGCATACGTGTGGTATGTGAGTGTGTTTGTGTGTCCCGCTGGCTGCCAGGCCAGTGACTGTCCCTCTCTATATCCTGTGGTGGCTTCCTCCCAGACTGTCTGTGGCTGCTTCTCTGTGCAGGTCTAGCTTCCCCCTGTAAATAAGGTTCTAACACCCCTTGCCTTGCCTGGGACTGCCAGCTTGGCTCTTCCTGGTCTTTCTTGTCCCTGCCAGGCTCCCTCCACAGTCTGACTACGGTGTATGTTCTAGCAGAGAAATTGGGGTTCTAGGAGAACAGAGCCAATCTCTGGGGCCTTCCTTGTTCCTCTGCCAGCTCCTCCCCTTCCCCCCATGACAAGGCAACAGGGCCATGGACATTGCATCTTCCGCCCATACAGGCCCTGGGGCTCTCTAAGGCTGCATAAGCAAGGCTTTTGGACTTTTAAAGAAGACATGCAACCTGCAAGGGAAAAGGCAAACTCCCTTCTTGAGAGGAAAGAGGGGTGTCTAAGCAATGAGGCCCTGGCTGCAGAGACCCAGGGTGCTAGTGGGAAGAAGGTTGCCCTGTCCTGCCCTGAAGATGGACAGAAGGAGGCTGCCTCACCTGGCAAAAGGTGCTAGAAGTGGGAATGAAAGATTGGCCACTGCAGGTAGCTTTTAGAACCAAAGAGAGGCCTGCTTTCTTTTGGACATGGGCGCAACCTGTGAGAAGGAGGTGCTCACCCAGAGAACTGGGGAGGGTAATCCAGCCCCTGAGCCTCGGTGGGTGCTAGTCCAAGGATCTCCCCCAGTGGGCTCCACCGTGCCCCCTTGGGCCCAGCCTGTGCCCATCATGCCCACTCTGTGGCCAGCCTGGCGTCTGAGCTGTGCCTCTCCCACGGGGTGGCTGTGCATAGGTGAGGAGGTGGCCTTTTGTTTTATTATTTCTTTTTCCAATAAAAGGACTTTCCCAACTTGAGGCTCCGTGATGCTTCTCTCCCCTGTGGTGATGGAGCAGGCATTTCTGTGCCCTGAGAGTACAGGGGATGCTGGGCTGGCTGCCTGCTCCCCATAAGGAGGTGCAAGAGCAGCAGCTGGGTATGTCCCGAAGGGGCAGCGGGCCTGATGCGGCAGGATAGTATAGTGGGAGGTGGGCACTCTGCAGCCTCTATTCTGAGGCCCTATGGGGCACTTACAGCCTTAAATGGGGGAACAGGTCAGACTGAAAGCCAGGCCCAAGTGAGTAATTAGGTAAATACTTGTTTCTTGGGCCCACACCTAGTGTTGGCCCTCATTAGGGGCTGGATCACACAGATCACTCAGTATCAAAGACTAGAAAGTAGATGTGTGTTGGGACCTAATGGAAATGTGTCTTGTATTTTATGAAACTAACATTTGTTGAACACCTACTATTTGCCAGATCCTTTGTTAAACCCGATACTACATCTGGAAGGGGACCTGAAGGTCACTTAAATAAGCCTGAGAGAGGCAGATTAGGGGGCAGAGGTCACACAGCTGGTTGAGAAGACAGGGCCAAATTTAGAAGCCAGATCTTCTGACCCAGAGCTTGCTCAGCCTCCACAGGGTGGTGCTCAGATGAGAAGTTGCCTGAGGTTATAGGGCAGCTGTTACCACACTCTCAGATCTGTGGGCCATGAGGGGGTCTGTGGGCACAATGGCTCCAGTCTCTGGTTGGGGAATCCCTGGCCCTCCTTGTTCTCAGGGCTTTTGTCTTGGTGCGCAGAGTTCCTGCTGGTCAGGCTAACCATAGTGTCAGGCAGGGGCCTCTCACCAGGGCAAAAGTGCTGGTATGAGGAACGTACTGGGAAACTGGTATCTGCTGAAAACAGCAGGCAGATATTATGGCCAGATTAGCAAGATCAGCTAGAACACCTTACTTGTAAAGATTCACAGAAAATTAGGCAAGAACAGGGAATAGAGAGTATGCTTTGATTACAGGAACTATGGATCCCCCCAACAATAGCCCCTGGTCACTCCACCCTAGCAGGTGTCAGACAATGGCGCATCCCCCATAATGCACCCCATGCGTGTGTGTCCCTCCACATACTTGCCTGCCTTTTCTGAACCTGGTTCTAAATAAATGCAAGACCGCCCATGAATCGGGGCTGCACCCTTTTTTGGTGTCATCCCTCTAGGCTCTCACTTCTCCAAACCAACATGGCCTTTGAGTAGTAATCTCTCATCCTATACTGCTCCCCACTGCCACGTGGCAAGGCAACAGGGGTCCCCTCTAGGTGGTGCTGAGCAAGACATGGGTGGCTTTCACACCTGTACTACTGCTCCTAAGGGGCACCTGGGCCCTTGCCTGAGTCAATGGAACAGAACGGAGTCCATGCCTTGCCCTGGGGAGTGTGGGTTGTCCCTGTTCTTTATGATGTGGGTGGGTTCATTCTGGCTGCTCGGTGCAGTGTTGTTATTACTCCTGATACTCATAAACAATAGTGGCAAGAGTTTACTCAGCTCTTACTATGTGCCAGCCACTAGGCTAAGACTCTTATCATTCAGTCCTCACAATAACCCTCTATGTTGTGGATGAGTAATCCCATTTTACAGATAAGGAGACTGAGGCTCTCAGAGGTTAAGTAACTTGCCCAAAGTTACACAATCTAGGAATTTTAGAGCTTGGCTTTGAATCAAGGCAGTCTGATTCCAAACTGCACGGAAGAGGACAGATTCCGCTTCGGGGATCCCCTCAGTGGCTTGAGGCCCTCAGCTACACAAGGGTTAGGGCTTGGCAGGTTCCCAGGAGGGACTTGGAGCCGTGCCTGAGCTCTGAGGGAGGTCTGGCTCCTCTGAGCCCAGGGTAGATGGGAGTGTGGGTGGGTCATGTGGGGCCCACAGGGGCAGCTCCATGAAGGGCTGTGAGGGAGAAGTGGGTGAGCTTGGCTTCTTTCTGCCTGTTTTCTGCTGATGGCTCAGCTATGGGGGAAGTGGCCTCTCTCCTAGTCTGGCTGCAGCCTTGTCCCTCCATCCTTCTTGCCAGTCAGACCCCAGCAGGCTCTGGGGAACAAAGGACTCCTGCTCGGGCCTCTGCCAGACCCACCCCAGGCAGCCCTGGCAACTGCTCCCCGCCACCCCCCTCCAATACTTTGCTTTCTGCTTTTTTTTTTTTTGGCCCAAGGCAGGGTATGTGTTTGAAAACCACAGGGTTTAGAGGCTCGAGGTGCCGCCGAGTGGCAGACTCTAGTGCTGCACCCAATTAAAGTGGCTGGGGTCAGAGAGCTGCTGGGAAACTCCCCCCATGGACCCCCCCGAAAGCAGCAGCTGCTCTCATTTCTCATCTGTGGCTTACAGAGAAATGGGCGGGGCAAAGGTGGAGTCCAATTGGTGGTGACTCTTTCCGCCCTGGGGTGCTGCCTCTTTAGTCTGGGATACCGACAGCTCCCACCCCTCCTCTCTCCAAAGCTCTGGAAGGACTTACAGGGAGGTCCCCATCCCCACCGCATTTTAACATAAGTGTTCACCAAGGGTAAAGGCAATGCAAATACCACTCCAAATGAGAGCAGATCAAGAGCTCCGTTGACAACGGCACATGGTAGAGACTCCTGGAGCCTCAGTTTCCCTGGTTGTAAGACAGGAATACTAATACTTTACAGAACTGCTTAGACCAGGGCTGCTTTCTGTTGGCTGCAATCGATGTCACCAGGAGAGCAAGAAAATCTGCCAACGCCTGGTCCTAGCCCCAGAGATTCTGATTTTATTGTTCTGGGGTACAGTGTGGGCATCAGAATATTTGAAAGTTCCCCTGGAGATTCTAGTGTGGAGGCAAAGTCCAGAACTTGTGGTTTTGATGGTACCTAGAGACTATGAACTTTTCACAGGCCTCTGAAAATGTCTGAGGCCAGAATAAAAGGTTTGTTGGTTCCATGAAAGCAGCCAGCCACAAAATGTGTATGAGCTGTATGATCCCACTTATAACAAATTCCAAAACAGGCAAAATGAATCTATAGTGTTAGAACTCAGGAGATGGTTGCTCCAGGGTGGCGGCCAGTGAAGGGGGGGTGCTCACAAGGCCCCTCTCTCCATCAAGAGGGGCCTGTCAAGGGTGTGCTCACTCATCAGGACTCATTAAGCTGTGCATTTAAGCTTTTTGTATTTTTCTCATGTGTGATACATTTCAACAAAGTTTGCCAAACAAGCTTATTGGCTCCAAAATAGGAAAAGAAAGCACAAAATTGAAATTAATCGTTTATTATGCATCTACAAAATGTATAATTATGTCAAACAATCAATTGCAATTCAACTCAGCTCAACTGGTGTGTGTGTGTGTGTGTGTGTGTGTGTGTCTGTGTGTAATTTGGTATGGGTTGTGGGGTTTATGGCAATGTTTGATTTTTTTTAAATGTTTGATATTTTAAAGAGTGGGGCATTCAAAAGAAAAGATCCCTGGTGCCTAAGGAAAATCGTAAAACAGCCCAGGTTTACACAAGGAGCCATTAACCTTGACCTCCTGCACTTGTATGCAAAATAATGTCACTTTACTCATGGAAAAGAATCCAGGGCTTTCAGCAGAATCTAAAGGGGTAAGTGACCCCCCCACAAAAGGCTGAGAAAAACTGGTTTTGAGGAGTCACGCTGTGGATGTGCCTGGCATGAAAGAGGTGCTCAGTTAAGTTAGTTTCTTTCTTTCCTTTTGGAGTGCAGCCTTTGGAGGTTCCCACATGACCCTCTCAGGCGGACTCAGTCTCTTGGCAGCGCCCAGGGCACACTAGAGCTCACGGTTCTTCCTCTAAGCAGCTGTTCAAACGACCTGTCATTTTAGCATCTGCTGGGCGGCAGAATTTAGCTGCAGCATCCTGGAGCTGCACCCGGCTTTGTGGCTTCAAATCATGGATAATAGAGGAGGTGGAAGAATATGGAGGGGGTCTGAGGGTTGTACCGGTGAGCAGACCTCTGTAATTCACCCAGCTATCCTGAGTCTCAGCTTTGTCATTTGTAAGATGAGAACATTATGAGAATGCATCTTTGTAAATGATAATCTGTTTCTCCAATGTAAGATGTTATTGTTATTGCTGAAGTTACACTAGGACCTCATTACACGGTGGCCTCATGATATAGGTTTATAGTCAGGTTTCAGATCCTTGCATAGAGTAAACAGATATTTATCCGAGGGTTCACTGATTCCTTAATACATGCCAGGAACATCCACGTACATTATGATTCCATTTAGTTCTCCAGTGCTCTGGTGGGTGGTTGTATTTGAATTCTTATTTTATAGAGGAGGAAACCGATGTTCCAGGTAGTTAAGTAACTTGACAAGTGCCCACAGCTAGTAAGTGTCAGACAAAGGTTTGCACTGCATCCCCGACACAGGTCCCGCTCTCATTCTGCTGGTGTCGCCGTCAGAGGCAAACTCTGTCCTTCTGGACTGACTCATAAAGACAGATCCCAGACCCAGAGAGAGGCACGTGGACAAATGCAGACACAGAAAAATGAGCTTGGCAGGGGCATGAGGGGCTAGTTATTTTGGAGTAATTCAACTTATCGATTTCTGTAATGGAAAAGTGATTGGGACCAGCTACCACCTGAGAGCAGTGCTGAGCAAGGCCCCAGAAGGGGGAAATGTTACACACAGCTTGGGAGGGGTTGTATAAGCCAATGGCCTCCTTCCCTTTGTCCCTAGTTCCTTGGTAATTTCTTGGAGGCCGGGATCTTGTCTTACTCTTTGCCACCACGCCCTCCCCATGCCCCAAGTGCCTGTCAGAGCGCCTTGCCCTTGGCAGGTGAATGGGAAGTGGAGCCCATCACAATCTGGCAGGAAGAGATGAGAATATACAGACACGAAATCCTCAGGCCCCTGGTGCAACATGCCACTGAGAAGTAGCCTAGGTGGATGCAGACAGGTGAGCAGTCCCTGA